GGATGATTTTAGGACACGAAATGGAACCTGCTTTTCTGCAGCTGAGGGGGAAAAGGAACACTTTCCTCTTTTATTCTGCTAAGATTTCTTTCACAACCAGTGAGAAGGGCTGCCAGCTTGCAGGGCAAATACAAGAATCCCATTAGTTGCTATCAAAAGAAAAAAAAACACCTTGTAATATAAAAAAAGATACCAGACACCTGGATTTTCATAATGTGTTGTTTCGCATCTCCAAGATCTGTCATTGCAATAGTGCAGGACTAAGTGGTTTTCCATATGAGTTCCAAATTTTCAAAGACTAGACAAATCCTATGCTATTTAAATAATTCAGAGTGTAGAGGAAGATGGAAAGCTCCCTGGCTCATTGTCATAAAGCTGTAAAAAGTCTAAAGCCATAGCCTACTTTAAAATAATACAGAACAATTGAATATCACGTTTACTTATGAATATAGGTAAGAAAATTTTAAAAAAAGGTAAATCAAATCTAGTAATGTATTAAAAGGACCAATATGACCAAATAGGGTTTGATCCATGAATTCAAGAATAGTTCAAGCATTGGAAAAGTATAATTTAATAATTTTAAGAAATTGAAGGAAAATAAAAACATGGTCAATGCTAAAAAAGTTCAACTGGCCACTCTTAATTTTTTAAAACTTTATTTAAGATAGAGTGAATCTTTCCAAAATGTTGAAAGTTATTTCCTAGAAATTAATAAACACTGAAAGCATTTTCATTAAAATTGAGAAAAGAGGAGTCCCTTCTGCCACCACTAATAGTCAACAGCGATGGGTGGTGGTATATTACAGAGAAGAAAAATAAATATTAAGACTGAAACTGATTATTACTCGCAGTTGCGAGAATTTTCATACCTAGATAAGAGATTAAAATAAAAAACTTGTTGAAACTAAAAAGCAAACTTCAGTAATTCATGGCATAGAATATAATACACAGAAACCAAAAGCTTTTTTTTTATACTGGAATTAATCTGATAGAAATAGAAATGGGGGGAAATCCTTTTATAGGTGTGACTAAAACCATCTCATAAAAAAAGGACAAACATAACTATAACAGGAAAATGCAAATCATGATGCTAACTGTAGAACATTTTGAAAGACGTAAAGTATGACCTAAATGGATGGAGAGACGTGCCAAAGAGAGGAACCGGGTGGTGGGCGGGGGAATAGAAACATCAATGATAAGAGAGAAGCATTGGTCCACTGCCTCCTACGCGCCCACTATTGGGGATCGAGCCCACAACATGGGCATGTGCCCTGTCCGGAATCGAACAGTGACCTCCTGGTTTATAAGTCGATGCTCAACTACTGAGCCATGCCTATTGGGCTAAAAGTAATTTTTATTGTAATTCCATTCACACGCTTTTAGTTCATTAAAACGATCCTCACACTGTGGAATGAGTGTGAGGTTTGCCAAAAGAATCCTGACAGGAAGGCCTCTTTTCATTGCTCTTTATCGCACACTCAGTCCTGCCTCCCAAAATGCCTTTAAAGCAGCGGTTCTCAATCTGTGGGTCGTGACCCCTTTGGGGGTCGAATGACCCTTTCACAGGGGTCGCCTAAATACATCCTGCATATCAGATATTTACATTACGATTCATAACAGTAGCAACATTACAGCTATGAAGTAGCAACGAAAATAATTTTATGGTTGGGGGTCACCACAACATGAGGAACTGTATTAAAGGGTCGCGGCATTAGGAAGGTTGAGAACCACTGCTTTAACATCAACGTACAGAACTCAAAAAGGAATCAACTTATGACAATGAAGAGGAAGGGGAGGAGTTGGTAATACATTGAGGGTTCAGCATATCTCTGGCTGGCAGAAGGAGGCACAGAGGATCAGGAAGCCCTGCCCCAAACGCCCTGCAGGGGTGCGAGGGTGGCCTGGTGTTGCCTCCCAGCTCTGAGCCCCATAGCACCTCTGGCCTCGGGGAGGAGATGAAAATAGGGCCGTTTTCAGAAGTCTGTATGTGATCAGCTCTGCCATCGACCCTCCTTATGCCCTTCGCCAGTTTCCACATGCAGAAGACCCAGGAGCCTAGAATGTGTCCCAAATGATGCCAGGACTTTTCCCTGAATAAGCTGATGCTGAGCAGAAACTACCCCCAAGAGTGAAGCATTCCTGAATTGTCTGAGGAGGGAGGTGGTGGAAGGGAGGAGAGGCTGTCCCCTGGGAAAGCTTTCCAAAGCCCGCACCCCCAGCCTGGGGCTGGGCTGCCACCAGTAACTCCTTCAGCTCCTTGCTTTCCGTGATGTCCGTGCCTGGAGGATTTCCAAACATGTGTCTTTAGCCGTGACCTGTCCTCTAAGCTCCATGCGCGTGGGTCTACCCACTGGCTATAATGTCGCCATAAGAACATCTAAGCCATGGTGGTCCCAGCGGTGAATGATGACCCAACGTACGTTTCTGGAGACTCTGTTGTCTTGCCCTCCCCTGGCCTCACTGTCTAGACTGTTGTCCTGCAGGCAGAGGGCCCCACTGCTCAGGCAGGGTCTGTGGGCCACAGTTCGGTGCTCGGACTGTCTTCTCAAGATGGCAAGGAGCCACTGAAGGTTCTGAGCAGGAGGGTGATGGAATCTGATCAAAGTGTTTAAAGATAACCGCTGGGGCTCCCGTGTGGAAGATGGCTGGTGAGGGGCACAAGCATCGTGACACTTAGGTTATTTCTTGGAGGACTTTCTCCAGCATCCTTCTCCCAGCCAGTGGCAGCAGCCTCCACCTGCACATCCAGGTGGAAGGTCAGGAAGAGCAGCAGGTGACACGTGGTCAGGCCAGAGCTTCTACACGGAACCCCGCACCTTGGCAGCCAGGCAGCATTGGCATAGCTTCACCCCCTCCGGTTCCTGCAGCTGCGCTGCTTTGAGAGAACGGGTTAACCCCCCTGCATCGACTGGTGACGATTCTGAAGTGAACGTTGCCCCGTTCTCTAGTGCCTGGCCAGGAAAATGGGAAGTTCGTCAGCAAAGTCAGGACAGTGCCAGAAGCCCAGAGGTCAAGGCTGAGTTGACCTACCAGTGTCTTTCAACTTGTTTTTGGATTTTTTTTTTTAACTCTCAATGATTTATAGACTAATAACTAAATCAGTAATGGCAGTGGCCGGTTTTCTTCCCTCTAAATTTCTACGTTTAGTAACAATGAGCCTGGGGTCAGTGAAATGAGAGCATCCTTTCAAGACAAAGCGGGCAGCGTCAGGGCCGCGGGCAGCGGTGTTTCCTTGGGTGATGTCATCTGGAATTGCTGCCATTCATCAGCGTAATGATAGTTTCTGCTGCCTCTTCAGCCGATTTGGGCAAAGCAATTGCTGTATTAAAATGCAGGGGAGTAAGGATGGATGGCTGCTGTGAATTCTCCTTAAAGATGTCCCAGCAACACAGAGGGGCTACTTCCTCAGGTGCTTTTAGATAGCAAAAAAGGGTGGGAAATATTGTTATTATTAAGTGGTTATTTTTTTCTTCTTGGTTAATATATTCTCTGACATTAAATATTCCTATATAATTTTTGACAAAACACTGCACCAGGCAATATTTTTTAAAATGGATTGTAAAAGGAGAAAGATTTTGAAATGCATTGTACTGTGTAGATTGCATTTCACAATCTTTCTCCTTTTACATAAAGGGAACAAAGCAGTACAAATGTGATTTGAAATTGTTTTAATACAGTTTTAAAATTCAAAATGTTTATTTTGAGATATTTCCAAGTTTTATGTGAATATATGTGTGTGTCTATGATCTCATCTCTCCCACAAAACATTGGATTTAGCTAATAACAATGTTTACAATAAAGTTAGGGTTGACAGATAAAATATAAGATGCCAAATGGACATACACTAAAAAAGATTCATTGTTTACCTGAAATTCAAACTTAGTTGGGTTTTTTTTTTTTTCAAGTCTGGAGATCCTTTATAAAGTAGAAAACATGAGTAAATCAATGAAGGTAGGATAGGGTGAGTTTTCATACAAATATGAAATCTAATATAATTGCAAAAGTTGAGCCATGGTCTCGGCCTTGAGTCCTGGTTGCTGGACAGAAATGGACATATAATCACAAGATGTGCATCATCCAGAAAGTGTATAGAGGGGAGACATTTACTTGGGGCAAGAAGCATGGTCTAGTTTGGGGGTCTGATGCAACACTTTTTCATAGTCTCCATTAAAGGGACCCTTTCTGATGGGGGTGGTGGTGTAATATCTACCTTGTATTGAGCATTTAATGAACTACTAGACAGTCTTTCAAAGTGAAGTTGTTTTTTTTTAAATTTAGATGAAGTCCATTTTCCATTTTGTACATTGTACTTTCGCAGTTCTAGCTAAGAAATGATTCCCTCGCTCAAGGTCAAAAAGATTCTGCCTATGATTTTTCTGAGAAGTTTTAGATTTTATATTTAGTTCTAGCACCCAGTTTTTTAAAAAGAACCTTTGAGTACATGCAAAAACAATGCTTTCTCTCCTACCTGTTTAGTTGATAATGATTTGGACACAGACAAGTTCAAAGTGTTCCATTATATCTTCTAGGAAGTGAATTTTTCCAAGCAAGTTAATAGTAAGCAACACTCTAAGGGGCATGCCTCAGAAGATTTCATACAGTTTTCACACCCATAGACACACACACACACACACACACACACACACACACACAGCCCTGTATGAACATATGCATTAAATATGTGTATGTAAAAGCTGTGCTGGCCCCTGCTTGCTCCGGGCTTTCTTTGCTGTGGAGTACAGGAAGTACTGCAGGGCATCCTTTGGGTTTTGTGTTGTGAGCTTTCACTGCAGGGCCTCCTTTGGGTTTTGTGGTGTGAGCTTTCTTTGAGTTACTGTGCATTTTGAAAACGACCCATTCACAAAACCCCACACCATTCAGTTAATCCAGTGTTGTGCTCAGACTGTTCTCCCCGCGAAGGCAAATCTTACTGTGGT